GCGAGGACACAGACGGGTAAGACAGAGAGGCCTTGGGAGGAGGCACAGCGGGCGACATCATGGACGTCTGGCCGCCAGACCGCGAGAAAGCAGATCTGTCCCGTGCACGTGGCCCACCCTGCTACAGTGTCACCTCAGCCCCAGCCAACACCTACACCCAGCGTCGGGGTCCCCAGGGCGGTGCCGGGAGCACCTGCGGAAGTAGCCTCCTGTTGGTCATGGCCAGTGAGCCCGGAGAGCGGTGTAAAACCCCAGAAAAACCGCGGGAGCCGGTGGATGTTATAGTTGGGACGGGTAGGGTGGGCTTCGCATGAGGGGAAGCTAGCAGCGAACCAGCGCTCAAACAACACCTGTCTTCCCCACCACCGAGCCGGAAGTCGCCCATCCCTCCTCCAAGGTTCCAAAGCACAGGGGACTTTTTTGGGTTTTTTTTGAGAGAGCGAGAGCGAGAGAGAGAGCGAGAGAGAGAGAGAGAGATCGAATGGTTGCCTCCCACACAACCCCGACTGGGGCTAGGCATGGAACCTGTAACCAAGGTACATGCCCTTGACCGGGAATCAAACTCAAGACCCTTTGGTGCACGAGCCGATGCTCTAACCACTGTGCATGCAGGCCAGGGCACACCACGGCACTTTTTACAAATATTATAAGTGTGTCACCACTTCCACAGTAAGTACTGGGTCTGTCCTTCCCTCCTACGCTACGAAGAACCTCTGTCCCATTGGTTTTTTTGTTTTTTTAATCCTCATCCGAGGACATTTTTCCATTTTTTGTACAGACAGAGTGGGAGGGAGAGAGAGGAAGAGAGAGAGAGAGGGAAACATCGATGTGAAAGGGACACATCGAGTGGCTGCCACCCTCACGACCAACCAGGGCCGGGGACAAACGGCAACCGAGGTACATGCCCTTAGCGGGAACCGAACCCGGGTCTCTCCGGACTGAAGGCCGACGCTCTGACCGCTGAGCCAAACCGGCCAGGGCTGTCCCATTGGTTTTCATAAAGAACACAAAACTGCCTCGGCCGGGTGGCTCAGCTGGTTAGAGAGTCGTCCTGATACACCAAGGTTGCAAGTTCAGTTCCTGGTCAGGGCACATATAAGAGTCAACCAATGAATGCATCAGTAAGCGGAACAACACATTGATTCCTCTTTCTCTGTCTCTCAAACCAACCAATCAATAAAAATTTTCTAAAAAAGAACACAGAATCTTGAACCCTACAAAAATGTTCTCAGATTGCATGAGCAAACACTAATTCTTTATTTTTTTTTAATCCTCACCCAAGGACATTTTTTTTTTTGCATTTATCTTCAGATAGAGCAGGAGGGAGAGAGAGAGAAAGAGAGAGAACCGTCGATGTGAGAGAGACACATCGACTGGTTGCCATGCACACGACCCTAACGGGGGCCGGGGACAAACCAAAACCGAGGTATGTGCCCTTAGCGGGAACCGAACCCAGGACTCTCTGGTCCACATGTGGACACTCTAACCGCTGAGCCAAACCGGCCAGGGCAATAATTCTTACCTTGACACTTTTCTGTTATCCCAACAAAGTACAACAGAAACCACTTTTTTATTATCATGCACTGCGTCTGAGATCTGCAATGTATACTCTTCATACAGACAAGTTCACATTACATGTACGCAGAACATGGAGCTCCATGCAGTCTCTGCACAGGTTTTGTGTTCAGAGAGGAAAGGACAGTCCCTTGCCCCATTTCATTCCTTATTCTCCGATGTAATGTTTCCAGCGCACCGTTTCTTGCCAACACTTCAGAAAAGAAACAGTCTCTCAAAAGACTTGGAAATGACGTCTCAACATTCCTACCCTAGAATTTCACCGAGGCCTGCCACTCTTTAAAAGCACCCACAGATCCTGAAAATTGCTGGTTTTGCAGCTCAAAAGCAGAAAGCTTCTGGAACTAATTTCTGCAGAGTGGTTACGAAGCCTGCTCGGCGACACAGCAGGACAGGCGGCCGGAGACACGGCCACGGGAGATGGAGCACAGCTCCCGCCCACTTCCTCTCGACCCTTCCACCGCTGACAGAGCCAATACCACACACACAATTTACTCTTCACGGCTGTTCACTAGGACACTTCACAGCAGGGCAGCTAACTCCAAGCACACGGAACTGCCCGCAGCTTTGATTAAACGCTCTCAGGGCAAGTGCAGGAGCAAGCCAGAGCCCAAGTGTGCAGGGCACACCCACAGCCAGAGACACACCCTCAGCCACAGCTACAGCCACAGCTACACCCACACTCACAGCCACACCCACACCCACACCCGCACCCACACCCACACTCGCACCCACACCCACACCCGCACCCGCACCCACACCCGCACCCGCAGCCACACCCACACCTGCAGCCACACCCACAGCCACACCCGCAGTCACACCCACACCCACAGCCACACCCGCACCCACAGCCACACTCACACCCAAAGCCGCAGCCACACCCACACCCGCAGCCACACCCACACCTGCAGCCACACCCACACCTGCAGCCACACCCACACCCGCAGCCACAGCCACAGCGCGCCCTCCCAGCACAGCCTGGGAGCAGGCTTTAAAAAAGTCCCCCTGCTGCTCAGCCTGTGACTTGCTGGGAATCCACAGGGATCAAGCTAATTGTGCTCCTGGCCCTCCGCTGACCTTCGTAGGTGTGTTCTTTCTCGGCCTCGCCCTATGACCCGGGGCATCTTGGTTTTAGCGGTGTACACGGTGACTTCCGGCGCAAGCACATAAAAGACTCTGCTGCCGGTTCCTCAGAGCAACGCAAACATTGGATCCTCGTGCAAGGCTGACCTCATTCAGTGTAAAACCAAAGGACATCGAACCCGTGACCAAAGGCTCCCAAAAGGAAACACTGAAGTTGGTTATTTCTGCAAGGGAACCTTGAGTTTTGAGGTGTCTACTTAGAATGTCACAGCGATGACCACAGATTCTCAAGATGTTAGAAAAACCTGTACACATGTATTCCCATCCTTCCATTGGCCTAGTTATTTATTTTTTAATTTTTTAAATTTTTATTTAAGGGGAAGGAAGGAGAGGGGGAAAGGTGGAGGAAAAGGAGAGGGGGAAGGAGAGGGGGAAGGTGGAGGGGGAAGGTGGAGGGGGAAGGGAAGTGGGGAAGGAGACGGAGAAAGGGGAGGGGGAAGGAGAGGGGGAAGGAGAGGGGGAAGGTGGAGGGGGAAGGGAAGTGGGGAAGGGGAGGGGGAAAGGGAGGGGGAAGGAGAGGGGGAAGGTGGAGGGGGAAGGGAAGTGGGGAAGGGGAGGGGGAAAGGGAGGGGGAAGGTGGAGGGGGAAGGTGGAGGGGGAGGGGGAGTGGGGAAGGGGAGGGGGAAGGAGAGGGGGAAGGTGGAGGGAAAGGGGAAGGGGAAGGAGAGGGGGAAGGTGGAGGGGGAAGGGAAGTGGGGAAGGGGAGGGGGAAGGAGAGGGGGAAGGTGGAGGGGGAAGGGAAGTGGGGAAGGGGAGGGGGAAGGAGAGGGGGAAGGAGAGGGGAAAGGGGAGGTGGAAAGGGAGGGACAAGGGGAGGGACAAGGGGAGGGGCAAGGGGAGAGGGGAAAGGTGGAGAGAAAGGAGATGGGGAAGGTGGAGGGAAAGGAGAGGGGGAAGGAGAGGGGGAAGGGGAAGGGTGAGGTGGAGGGAAAGAAGAGGGGGAAGGACAGGGGGAAGGAGAGGGGGGAGGACAAGGGGAAGGGGAGGGGGAAGGAGAGGGGGAAGGAGAGGGGGAAGGGGAGGGGGAAGGAGAGGGGGAAGGTGGAGGGGGAGGAGAGGGGGAAGGTGGAGGGAAAGGAGAGGGGGAAGGAGAGTGGGAAGGAGAGGAGGGGAGGTGGAGGGAAAGGAAAGGGGGAAGGAGAGGGGGAAGGGGAGGGGGAAGGTGGAGGGAAAGAAGAGGGGGAAGGTGGAGGGAAAGGAGAAGGGGAAGGAGAGGGAGGAGAGTGGGAAGGAGAAGGGGGGAGGTGGAGGGAAACGAAAGGGGAAGGAGAGGGGGAAGGGGAGGGGGAAGGAGAGGGGGAAGGAGAAGGGGAAGGGAGGGGGAAGAGGAGGGGGGAGGGGAGGGTGAAGGAGAGGGGGAAGGGGAGGGGGAGGGGGAGGGTGAAGGAGAGGGGGAAGGGGAGGGGGAGGGGGAGGGTGAAGGAGAGGGGGAAGGGGAGGGGGAGGGGGAAGGGGAGGGGGAAGGGAAGGGGAGGGGGAAGGGGAGGTAGAAGGGGAGGAGGAAAGGCACTTTGAGAACCCCATCAGCCCATTTAAATAGGGTCATCCACAGCTCCTACAAGGGCCTGTCCTTGCTCCTCCGCCTTCCTCTGGGGTGAAGCACACTATGTATTCCATGCAAATCCCTCCCTGGCTACAATGAAATGGCTACTCTTGCCACAATGAAAGGGCTACTCTTGCGTGGCTTTAGAATTACGGCGGCGCACACACTGTCATTCACCGCCCCGCCCACATTCTGACAGCTGCTCTGATCAGCCCTGGGGAGCCAGGGGACTCGGCGTCTATTTCAAAGCTCAAAATTAACTCCCTGAAAACATCCAATTTAGAGAGGCTCACCCTATTCCTTTCTGACCGACAATCCGTCCAGGCCCCTCTGACTGAGACCCCCCAGCAGCCCAGCTGTGCTGGAGGACAGGCAAGCACCCCCCAGCCTGGTAAAGCATTTCATTCAAGAGCATGACACTGGGTTTCTCCTTCGGTCACATAAACAACCTCACTGTGCAGAAAACACGGCAGCTGTTTTCAGAACCAAAAGTACCACGACGGTGTTGGGAGGCATCACCGCTCCTGGGGTGCCTCTCCCGGTAGCACGTGGGGCCCCGGATCCGGTCAGGCCGCGGGGTGGGTGGGCTCCCGAACCCTGGGACTCTGGACCACCAGGTTAGTGGCCCCTTCAGGTTTCGCCAAACCCAGATGCCTGACCGTGTCAACCAAGCATTCACCCACCATACAGAACCCCCCCCAGGAGCCTTCTTACTACCCTCAACCCCAAATTCGCCTACCTTGGGGTGGAGCATCTCTCCTGCGCTTGGACTGTGGAGGCGAGTTCTCTGGGCTCACCAGGGTCCTCTGCCTGCCGCCGCGGTTCGCTGGGAGCTTCCTGCCAAGGGCACACAGGGAGACCCAAGTCATCAGGCCGCCTTCTTCAGGACACGTATGATTACGAACCCCCTCATTGTGGGTTCACCCTGCAAGCCTGGACCACGAGGCCGATGACGCAGCCTGCTGCCTGCTGCGGGCGCTCGGCCACGGGGCTGGCGAGCTCAGCCCTGCAGACGCGCCGCACCACGATGACTCAACCAGACCCTGTGTCCGCTTCCGTTCCGGGCAGGAAGCACAACTCCGCCATGAGGTCTGTGACGCCAGGGGACGTGACACACTGGCCAAAACGACCCCGAATCAAATGCAACCCAGCTTGGCTACAACTCTCTGCAGCGAAGCCACAAGCCCCAGGACTTGCCCGAGTGTGGGATGCTTGTGTCCGCACAGGGTGAGCGTGGGCATCTCAGAGGTCACGCTGTGCAGGCCCGAGGCCAAGGCTCCACCAGGGCAGAAGCAAACGCCCCCGGAGTCCCCAGCCCTCCAGAACCCCGACTCTGTGGGAAATGGGCAGCTCCCTTCCCCTAACACACCGAATACTGTGCACTAATGCTACTGCTGGTTCTTTCTAAGGAAAACCGTCCTTGGTGCTGCAGAAAACGTTTTGTTAGGCATACACAGATGCAGGTTTAAGAGGCGCAGAAAGCCCTGGCCGGTTTGGCTCAGCGGTTAGAGCGTCGGCCTGTGGTCCAGAGAGACCCGGGTTCGGTTCCCGCTAAGGGCACGGACCTTGGATGCAGTTTGTCCCCGGCCCTGGTTGGATCATGCGGGTGGCAGCCACTCGATGTGTCCCTTTCTCGTCGATGTTTCTCTCTCTCTCCCTCCCACTCTATCTGAACAACAACAAAAAAAATGGAAAAATGTCCTCGGGTGAGGATAACAAAAAAAAAAGAGGCAAACAAAGCAGGGAGAGAGGGAGAGAGAAACGAGCGACGTTGAAGTACGGACAAAGATATGCAGCTTCTTAGAAAGCGTGATGTCAACTTTGACCATCAAAACTCTTCCCTTTAAATAAAAGGGCAGTAGTGTAATGAAGCATTGCTTTTTTAAATATGTTTTTATTGATTTCAGAGAGAGAGGAAGAGAGGAATAGAGAGGGAGCGAGAGAGAGAAACATCGATGTGAGACAGAAATATCGATGTGAGAGAGAAGCATGGATCGGTTGCCTCCCATATGCACCCAGATGAGGACCAAACCCAACACCTGGGCATGTGCCCTGACCAGGAATCGAACTGGTGACCTTTTGGTTCACAGGGTGCCACTCAACCAACTAAGCCACACTGGCCGGGGCTGCACTGCCTTTTAATTACATTTGCCCCACAGCAATCTTTAAAAATATTTGCAAAAAGCCCTGGCTGGTTTGGCTCAGCGGTCAGAGCATCGGCCTGCGGTCCGGAGTGACCTGGGTTTGGTTCCCGCTAAGGGCACGTACCTCGGTTGCAGTTTGTCCCCGGCCCTGGTTGGTCGTGCGGGTGGCAGCCACTCGATGTGTCCCTTTCTCGTCGATGTTTCTCTCTCTCTCTGTTCCTCTTTCTCCCTCCCACTCTACCTGAACAAAAAATGGAAAAATGTCCTCGGGTGAGGATGATTAAAAAAAAGAAAAGAAAATCAATAAATAGAAAAGAATACTAAAAAGGCCAGAAACTAAAACTATCAAATGATTCAACGACATCCCCATTTCAAAAGCAGCTGCTAATGTTGTCTTCACTCTACACAAAACTGCTCTTCATTTCGGGGGACAGCGGACCATTTCCTCGTTGCCCCCAAGTCCCTGGCTTGGTACCAAGGCAGGGAGAGCTCACAGGGGACAGGGAGACAGCTGCAGCCTGCCCTGAGTCTGGGAGCTCCAGGCCTGGGTCACATTACGGCACCCAGAACCGCCTCCGAGGTGCCCCCAGACCCTCCCATGCAAGTCGATGCCACGATGCCCAGAGATGCAAGTCTGCTGACACTGGCCCATGACATTTGGGGGTGTCCTAGACTTGCCATGCTCACCTGTGGGTAGAGGTCGGTGGACGGTGATGACCGCGACCTCTCGTGAACGAAACGCAGCCTCTCCTGTTGGTCCAGACCCACCTCCAGGATGTCGTCGGCCGAGTGGTACCTCCCCGAGCCCCTGGCGTCTGCGCCTTTGCTCTGTTTCCTCCAAGAGGCCTGATACTCCGCAAAGGTCCCTAGCCTCTGTGGGGGTTGCGATTTTGCTGTCTTTCCCGCCTTCCTGGGACCACTGACGTTTTCCCCCAAGGAGGTGCCGCAGGCCTTGTCCTGGGCCGGAGGCTCGGCGCCCGGGTCCCCGTGGCCCGTGGCCCGCGGCCTGTCCAGCTTCTCCTTCGGGGCTCCGGAGAGCGCCGGCCTCGGCCCGGGCCTCTGCGCAACCAGCCTGCTGGATTCCTCGAAAAACTTCCACCTGTCCGCAAAGGTCCCCACGGTGTCCTCGGCGGGCGGGGCACGGCGGCCCTCCGACAGCCCAACCTCGTTCATCTTCTCCGGCTCCGAGTACGACTTCAGCTTCTGCTCCACCGTGAACCGCCTCCGGCCCCCGACGCGGGCCACGTGGGACCCACCACCTCTGGCCGAGGGCGGCCTGGCCGGGCCCACCTCCCAGGAGCGGGGGGCGGTGTCCGGATCGGGACCGTGGTCCCCGGCTCTGGGCTCCGGCGACCCCGCGTAACGGTCCGCTGGGCTGGGGTCCAAGTCGCGGCGCTTGAACGACGTGGCCCTCAGGACACGGGCTTGGGCCTCTTTCAGGTGGTCCTTGTAGGTGCCCAGGAAGGACGCTGCCGGGGCGGGCACCCCCAGGGCCCCCCGCCAGCTGCCGGCCTGTCCCTCGGCCTCCTCTGGCTCAGCCAGCGTGGCCGAGCTCCTGCTCTTCTGCAGCCTGGCCCGCCGCAGCTGGATCTCGTTGCGCAGGGTGGTGGCGAAGCGGTCACTCCGCCGTGTGGGTTTGCCCGCCTGGGCGTCGAAGGGCGCGGGCCTCTCCACGCCGCCCTCCTGGCCATCCTCGGGCCTCCCGGCCCCCTCCCGGGTCAGCGAGTGCAGCATGGGGGTCCTGTGAGCGGAGATCTGGCCAGTCTCTCCCTCGGCCCCCCTGAAGCCGTCACCGACTTTCTTCACCCTGGCTCTGTCGCCGTGGCTGGCTCGCTGCAGCTCTTCCGTTCTCGGGGAGCGGGCCCCCACTCCGCTGTCCCCTAGGTCACCCCTCTCCCCTTCCTGGGCCTCCGGGGCCTCCTGGTGCTGAAGGAGGGGACCACGGGGTCTCTGGCCCACCGGGTGTGTGGCAGGACACGCGTGGGCACCCAGAGACGAGCCACAATGCCAGTGGTCATCGCGGAGCTGGGACACCTGGGCATTCCCCTGTCTTGTGCTCACCAAGTGGGGGTGGCTCTGCCCTCCGCTGTCCCCCTTCCGATCAGCAGCACTGGGCCGTCTGGCCTGAGGGGGGCTGCCGTCCTGGAAGTGGGGGGCAGGGGGCTCCTGTCGGGCTCCAGCCAGGGCACCCCAGGGCACCTCCCTGGGCCACGCAGCGGCCCTGGGGCCCTCGTGCGGGAAGGGGCTCTGGTCGCTGCGCTGGCGTGGGTGCTGGCACCCGTAGGACGTCGGTGGGAAACGCACGTCGGTGCTGGACAGAGAGGCCTGGAGCCCACTGGGGGCCCCGAGGGTGGGGGACGGGCCCCCGCACTCCAGGGGGGCGTCCGCTCCACAGGCCGAGCTCCCAGGTCTCCTCCGGTCACCCGGGCGCACCGGCTTCCACGGCTGGTCGGTGGGCTCCGGTCTCCAGTCACTGCGGGGCTGGGCCCGGCTCAGGCCCGGAAAGTGCTGTGTGGCGGCCGCCTCCGGGGAGGCAGGGCCCGGGGCCTTCCCGTGGCTCTTGGTGGCCGCGAAGCTGTGACTACGGAGAGGGGGAGGGGGCGGCGGCGGGGAAGAAGGGGCTTTCTTCTTATCGGGAACATACCAGACGGGCCCAAAACTGGACCTCCCTGACGGGGCCAGCCTGGGCTCGGGCGCGTTCTCCGGCGTGGGGCTCCCGCTGCTTTCCCGTGGGCCCCGGGCGGGGAGGCACCCCGGCCGCTCCTCCGGGCCCTGAGGTTCCTGCCGGCTGCCTCCCGGCCGGGACGCCTCCCACAGGCCCACTTTGTAGAGGATGTTCTCCGCGGACGACGCGTCCGCCGTGGGCAAGGTGTGCTCGGGCGTGCTGGAGCTGGTGGAGAACGAGCCGTAGGCCGAGTCCCGCTTGCCGGAGCCCCCCAGGTGGTCGATGCTGCTGCTGGACTTGGCGGCCGAGAGGCGGCCGGAGGGGTAGGACGGGGAGGGGTGGTCCAGGCTGTCCACGCTGCCCAGCGAGCTGAAGTGGTCCGAGGAGCGCTGCAGGCTGGGCGGCTCCCACGCGCCCGACAGGTCCTGGGAGGAGGAGCTGGACAACGAGAAGACAGCCTGCGTTAGAGCCGATCCCCGCACAGGGACGGGCCTCAGCTCTGTGACCAGGGGCCCTGCGGACACGGGCATCCCGGTGCAGGGCACACGGGGACGGTCCCCACACCCGTCAGGTCCTGCGGGAGGAGCTGGATCACGAGAAGACAGCCTGCATTAGAGCCGATCCCCGCACAGGGACGGGACCTCAGCTCTGTGACCAGGGGCCCTGCGGACATGGGCATCCCGGTGCAGGGCACACGGGGATGGTCCCCACACCCGGCTGGGAAGCTCAGCACATCTAGGTTTTACATTTCACACAGCGAGAGGGCAGGTGAAGGGCCGAGTCCTACAGACGCCTGGCCGGACGGCTGGTCCGTCAGCACCGCACACCCACAGGCACAGGCGTCCCCAGTGGGCAGGCCGGTGTGGACAGGCCCTCCGTCCATCACGAGTGAACCACAGCGGTCAGCATACTGAAGCCCATGAGCCACAATCGGGTTTTAGATACGTTAATGGTTTGGGGGGTGCGGTATAGAATCGAAAGAATAATATGGCTTGACCCATGAAAATGGTATGAAGTTCAGCTCTGGACAGTTTGGCTCAGCGGTTAGAGAGCTGGCCCACTGACCAGAGAGTCCCGGGTTCAGTTCCCACTAAGGACATGTACCTCAGTGCCAGTTTGTCCCATGCCCTGGTTGGGGCCGTGTGGGTGGCAGCCCGTTGATGTGTCTCTCTCACATGGATATTTCTCTCTCACCTCCTCCTCCCTCTCTCCCTCCTGCTCTATCTGAAGATAAATGAAGAAATACCCTTGGGTGAGGATAAAAAAAAAGAAGGAAAATGGTATGAAGTTCAAATCCCAGTGTTCCTAGGTGCAAACAGTCACAGCTGCTGTTGACGCAGTGTGGGGCGGCTTTGGGTACAGGTGAGGGGTTGGAACAGCCCTGGCTGCAAAGTCTGGAACAGTTACCCTCTGCCGTCCACGGAACACGCCGTGGACCCTGGTTTACAGTTACCCTCTGCCGTCCACGGAACACGCCGTGGGCCCTGGTTTACAGTTACCCTCTGCCGTCCACGGAACACTCCGTGGACCCCTGGTTTACAGTTACCCTCTGCCGTCCACGGAACACGCCGTGGGCCCTGGTTTACAGTTACCCTCTGCCGTCCACGGAACACGCCGTGGACCCTGGTTTACAGTTACCCTCTGCCGTCCACGGAACACGCCGTGGGCCCTGGTTTACAGTTACCCTCTGCCATCCAGAGAACACGCCGTGGACCCTGGTTTACAGTTACCCTCTGCTGTCCAGACATGCTGTGGACCCTGGTTTAGTGTAAGAGTGATTTTATTACAATTAGGAACACAAAGGCAATCAAAGAATGGATGTAAAACGAAAAGGGAAGTTCAGAAGGTCCCTGTCCCACGCCCAACTATTGAAGTCGTGACGGCACACCGTCAGGGTGCAGCCGTGGGACAAGCACCTGGCAGAGGACCCCACGCAAGTGACAGGCCTCATCCGCGCCACCGGCCGCGGCTGCGCTCAGGTGCTGAGCAAACCGGGCAGGGGCCCATGGAATCTACCTGCACACCCGGAACGCAGGTTCCTAACCAGGATGGGGTCTGAGGGCAGGAACGGAAAAATCCAGGTCTTCCAACCAGGGCAGACAGAAAACAACCAAACAAAAACATCTGTGGCTACTTTAAGTTTGGGGAGAACCAAGACGAGAGAGAAAACCGTCTGACCAGGAAAAGCCACACCAGTGACCTGGCTAAGGCCCCTGAGGGAGGAGGCTGGCATCTCCCACCCCTTCCTGTGAGGACAGACCAGGTACCCCTCTCAGACATGGGCCGTGCCCCCCTACACTCCTGCGGTGACTCCAGGAGAGCTTGCCTCCGAGGAGATATCAGTACTGCAGCAGGACTGTTTCCACACGGAGGTGGGCAGCGTGCCTGTGCCTTTAATGCAGAAGCCTCCAATCGGGCTTCCTGGAGAGCCCACCACAGTGAGTCAGCTGAATAATGAATAAGAGGTCTGCTTGTCGGCTGAGGTCTCATCACTCAGCTGACAATCTGCGGTTTTTCAAAAAGGCCCTGGGCTCCCATAACCACCGTCTCTGGTCACATTAAACTGCGAGTGCTATACTGGACACGTACAGCCTTCACGTCACACGAGTACATTTCCAGTTCTGCAGCAGACCAGTACTGTCAGAATCTCTTCTGACACGGTTACGTTGGCCCCAAACACACACACACAGGTACAAACACACTTTTATCAATAGCATGCACACCCACACAGGTACACACATGTGTAAACAGATGCACAGATATATGTGTGCAGATATGCATGCCCACGCACACACGCACACCTGCATAAACAAATGCACACCGATACATGGGTGCAGATATGCATGCACACACACACCTGCACACACATATTCATGTACAGGTACATGTGTGCAGGTGTGTGTGCACACCCACACATGCACACGGGTGTAAACAAATGCACACAGGTACATTTGTGCAGATATGCATGCACACGCACACCTGCATGAACAGACACATGTATACAGATATGCGTGCACTCACGCATGTACACACATGTGTAAACAATCGCGCACACATGTGTGCAGATACACATGCTCATCCACACATGCATGCATAGAGGTATGCATAAACAAATGCACGTGGATACAGGTATGTGTGTATATACATGCACACACATGCATGCACAGGTAAAGGCACACACATAGATACACATTTAAGCACACACAGATACACAAGCATGCACGCGGACACATAGATACACATGCACACATCCGTGCACACACATTAAAGCCACACTGTTTGCTATTGCTATTACTGTCATCCTTCTAACAGGACAGCGGTGAGGACACTGGCCACTAAACCAAGGTGACCAGTCAGCTCCCTATGACTAGCAGGAGCCTCATCACGCCAACACCACCACGGTCTGTCACATGCTCACCTGGCATTAGCCCTGTGACCGTGAAATGTGGGTCCCAGGCAGGCTGGGCCAACCAGCACTTCCCTTCCCCCAACCCATAGCTGCCACCTCCTGTCTCACACTCAGAGGGTGACTCCTGCTGGGCTCCAGGCTGGTCGGCCCTGGCTTCTCGACCTGCACAGCAGCACCTTGGGCGCTGTTTCAAATACACCTGCCCAACCCACGGAGCTCTGGCCTCTCAACTGCATGCCAGCCTCTCACAGGGCATGGCTGTGGGCGCAGGGGTGGCTCGGCACTGCCGAGTCGGCGGGCCGAAGGAATGCAGCCCAGGCGCGCGGGTCATGCCCTAAACAGCACACCAGGAGAAGCAATCGGTCCGTGCTTGCTCCGGGTGTTGTGGTTCCGCGGCCCACCATCGCTCGGCTGCCTGCGCGGGACCATGTCTAACAGCCGTGGTGTGGTAGGGGCCTTTCCTCTCCAGGAGCACAAAACCCTTCCGACGCCCAGGAAGGCGCCGTCACCCCGGGGCCGGGAGCTCCGAGTGTCTGCAGAGCGGCAACCCCCCGCCCAGCCTACCTCACGTGGTGTCGGCCGTGCCAAGAAGGGCAGGCGCCGGCGGAGGACAGCGGACAGGTGGGCGTCTCAGGGTGGCGGTCGGAGAACTTGGTGGCGTGCCAGGACTGAGGCCTCCCGCCGAGCTCATTCTTCCTGAAAAAGAACGCAGAGACTCAGGGACGTCGGCCAGAGGACGACGTCGCGCCAAGGTGGCGAGACGCCCCCCGCTACCTCCATGTGATTTAGTGCTGTGTTCCGGTGCTGCCCACCGTCCCTGGGCACGGGTGCTCTTACACTTTTGTTAACGGAGGACTTACCCCAGTGCAGAGGGACAATCGCAGGCTCCAAAGATGAGCCAGCCCTTAATTCTTCTAAATGGATTCTAACGAACTGCATCTCGTCCTCCACTCCCACACTAAGACCGCAGACAGAACCTTCCACCCTTCCTGGGTGGGCAGAGCGTGGCACGGGGTGCCAAGAGGCGCTGGGCTGGAGAAAGCTCAGGGAGCCCCCAGCTCGGCTGGGGCAGCTTGGACCGCTTCTCTCTGTTTATTCACTCACTTAAATACGGCTCTGTTGTCGTTAACCGAGACTAGCAGATACATACATCTCTGAACCTCTCAGAGGCTCTGTGACGTCAACTACAGGTCCCCATCGTGCGACTCACCATGCTTATGAACACGTGTGAGTCTCCCCTGGGTGCCTCTGCACAGTCCCTACCATCCCGTGGGTGGTCTATGAGTTGTCTGGCCACACCTGCCCAGGTGTGACAGGTGTGCCCAGGTGGACATCCCTCCAGCTGCTGTGCAAACACGGCAGCCTCCATGAACCTCTGCACGGCCAGGCCTTCAGCTTACGACAGACAGAACCTCCACGTGGACGCCGGACGGCCCGTCCACGGAGCCTGCACGCAGCCTCTGTGGGAGGCTACGGGAGATCGAGCATTCTCCCCAGCAGGCAAAACCATTCAAGAAGACCATGCCGTAAAGAATATGAAAGGGAAAGCCGTATACCTAAACCACCTGACAGCTGGTTGGTGAACGAGGACAAATACCTGGGGGGCAGAAGGTGGAACGTGTTTTGACTTTGGGGTAGTTTTCCATGAACTAGAGCAGACGAAGGCATCCCGCCACAGGAGGACAGGGGTCCTAAAAGCAGGGCTGTACCTCTTGGCATGTCTCAAGATCCCGGTCAGCCAGGTCCTGGCCACGGGAATCTGCCTTTCAGACGGCTTTTTCTGTGCTGGATTATCCACAGCTTCTTTCATCTTCCTCTAGAGCAGGGGTTCTCAGCCCTCCCAAGGCCACGACCCTTTAACACAGCTCCTCACGCTGTCTGTGGGCGCGTCTGCATGTGGGCGGACCCGCCTGGAGACGGACAGAGGAGCGGTGTCTCGGTTCCTAAGACCATCGGAAATATGTGTTTTCCGATGGTCTTAGACGACCCCCGTGAAAGGGCCATTCGACCCCCAAAGGGGTCGCGGCACACAGGTTGAGAACCGCTGCTTTCGAGTTCACGATGGAAGGAACTCAACTAGACTGGTTGGAGGAGGCGGCAAGGAGAACAGGAAGGCTTAGGGAACCCCTCTCACTCGGACAGCATTCCCACCCGCCGCCGGGTGCCCGGCAGGGCTGGGTTACCCACTGGACCAGCGCTCCAGGGGTACACAGTATTCTTCCCCTGCAAACATGACACACAGCGCTGGCCGGTGTGCTCAGCGGTTAGAGCATTGGCCCGTGGACCGAAGGGTCATAGGTTTGATTCCTGGTCAAGGGCACATACCTGGGCTGCAGGTCAGATTCACACCAACTGGGCTGGGGAGGCAATGGATCGATATGTCTTTCACATCGATGCTTCTCTCTCTCTCCCTCCCTCCCAGTCTCCAAAAAATAATAATAATAACAGAGATATACGTCTCTCTTTCAAGAAGACACAGCCAACAGTCACAGTACTGATCAGGGCTGTTTTATAACAGAATAAACCAAGGAAACCCGGTGGGAAGGGTTACACCTACAAGAGCTCACTGAGGATGTCACATCAGTGGGGACAGGGACATTTTCCCGAAATACATGGGCTGTGGATCTGGGGATCGGAGAAGGTTCCGGGTGTTCCCAAGCACCCAAGGTGTGCAATGGCCGGACCTGACAAGAACAGAAGGCCACTCAGCAGCTGTGTGCTGGCCACTGGGTCACCATCCTGTGCGGACGCTGGACAGGAAGCCCCGGGGCCGGAGAGCGCTGGCGCCACCTAGAGGCAGCACAGACTCATCGTCCCCTCGGTCAGCCTCCCACCAGCAGATGGAGCAGACGGGAGCAACAGGAGCAGATTTAGGATCCTCGTGCCAACAGGATGGCGGTGTCTCTTCCCACAAAGATACACGCACGGGTGGCTTTAAACCACCAGTCCCTGGAAGTGTGGGGCCATGAGGGGTACACAGACGGGCCCCAAGCTGTACCAGGAGAAGAGAGCAGAACACCCGGCGGGGGGGAGGAACTGGGAGACCACCACCAGGCCTGCCACGTGCAGGGTGAGACCCTTGCTGGCTGCGGAGCCGTGTGCACGGAGACCCCAGAGCTGAGGGAGGGAAGAGGGTGCAGAGGACCCGAGGGACCATGTCGAGGGGGGGCCGGGGAGGGGAGGGACGCTCTGCAAACACCTGTCATGCTTTACAAACAAAACGGGGTAAGACAAGCAGTTCCTGCGTTCCACAGTGGCTGAACTGAGAAAAGAGAAAAATCCCCCGATGCCCTAAACAGCTGAAACCGGTACGAGCCACCAAAGCTGCACCTCAAACCGACGCCAGGGCCCGGCAGCCTTCCCGCAGGACGAAAGCACCGGGCTGGTCTCCACGAGGCCGGCACCCCTCCTCGGCCCCAGCAGGGGCTCCTGGGGCCCCCCTGGCTGCTTAGGCAGAAAAGACCACGTGGAAATCTCACGGAGCGAACACAGGCGCAACCGAAGCAGACCCAAAATGACTTGGTTTGGGTTTTTCCAGTTAACTTTTATAATCTTCCCATCCAGACACCTGTCCGTGTTAGGAGAACAAAGTCCAGCTCACCAGCACGGCCCTCGCTAGCATTTGTCCAAACCACCGACATCCACAGAGCAGCCTGGGGACCGTTTCCAAAGGCCTCAGCACCCTTCCCCGCGACGTTTCAACAGAACAGACCGGTAGGCAAGGCGGCAGGACACTGACATGTGCAACCACTAACACGCCTAATTCTATGCAGCCGACAGCGTTAGTGGCTGGGCTGAGGACCGCTCTCTGTAAGAGCAAAGGGACAAAGATAAGCGGACGTTTTCTGCGTGTCTGCATATATTAGAGACCGGCGATGTTTCCTAAAGATCTTACAACCATGCCTCCCAAGAGAAAACATCTTTCTACCCGTCCCGACTTGACTTAGAGGGTGAAACATTCTCACGTAATTAGAGATTCACCTGATTAAATGCTTCAGCCAGACACGAAGTCTAAATCGGAGGAGAGGCAACTTTTCCCAACATAAAACAATTCTGACCTGTGTGGGGTTTGTTTGGTTTTTTTTCCTCCTGCTTTTACTAAGAAGCAAAACTGTTCTCGTCCCAAGAAAAATATTTATAAGTATGCATGGTAAAGAATGGGACCGAGACTGACTGTGATCCTGTGGCAATATGGACACAGAGCGAATCATTATGTTGTATGTCTGCAACTAATATATGTCAATTATATCTCAATTCAAAAAACAAACAATATCTCTGCTGGTGTGGCTCAGTGGCTGAGCATCGACCCTGCACCAAAAGGTCACCGGTTCGATTCCCGGCCAGGACACATGCCCAGATTGTGGGCCCGATCCCCAATGGGGGGCATGCAGGAGGTGGCCCATCGATGTTCTCTCATCGATGTTTCTCTCTCTCTCTCCCTCTCCCTTCCTCTCTCTCTTAAATCAATAAACAAAACAAAACAGTACCGGAGAACATCCCAAACAAGTCAGGGTGTCTATCTCGTACAAACCTCTAACTGTACCGTGTTTTAACAAGAATAAATCCCCAGGAGCAACAGGCTATAACGTCCAAAATGCTCACAAGACACACTTTCCCCTGAAACTTGAAGAAACAGTCTCAGACCACCCTCCCCAAGCACCGGATTTGCCAGCTCCCACCTGCGTCCCCACTAAGAGGCACACACTCCCTCGGAACCAACATGTTCTCCCCCAGGTAGAGCCCTGGAAAGGGATCGGGTGGGGAGGGGGACAGAACCAGCCAGTGCCCGAGCCATCCCTGTCCCCCATCCCTGCAGAGCTGCTCCCAGGGACATCAATGGGGCCCCACGCAGAGCTCCCTGCTCAGCCTGGGGCACGAGGCCATGGCACAGTGCTGCTCGCCGCAGAAGTCACGCACGCAGAGACACCAGAGACCAGTGCACGTTGTCAGAAACCTGATCCTCGCAAGCCCGGAGCTGTCTCTGGGCTCAACACCTCCTTTCTTCCAATGCATCTGCGGCCAGACAGTCTGGCTGAACCTGCAGCTCCTGCTAAGAACCTCCTCCCGGGGTGGGGGTGCTACTCCCTCATCCGCTGCCAGTGCCACCACAGGGGGAGTAACCAGAGTCACCAAGGGCTTTAAGGCAAAGAAACAGGAAATGACAGGAATCCACCGTGTCAGTCATTTGGTCTCGGCCACAGGGCTTCCCACACCGGCTGGTGCAAGAAGAAGATTCGTGACGAGGTGGTGGGCAGACTTCGTTGTAACCGAAAGGAACATCACCCCGTACCTTCGGGAGATAGAAACAGGAATTACAAGTGCTGGAAAATAGTGTTTGGCATGACAGTTAAAAGACATGCCCCCCAAGGCGCTTACGCTTATATGTGCTTTTCAGGAGCTGAATTTGTGGTGAGTGGCCTCTGACACGAGAGACACGGGGGACTGTCCCAGCACTCTCTGCGCAGGGCACAGTGACTGCAATCGGTGCCAACGAGGGGCTCACCTTCTGAGCCACTCTGATGTGGGCAAGGCCGCAGGTGACCCAGTTCCTGCTCTTAAGCCTCTCCAAGCACACTGGCCTAAGCCGACCGACAGCATGACCACCAGCAAAACAGCCCCGGGCCGTCTGGGAAAATACCCGCGCCTGGATCCGGGCACCAGGGTCTCCGGGGCGTGGCCTGGACACCCAGGAAAAAAGAGCAGGTGACAGCCAGACAGAGAGACAAAGAAAAGGTCAGCACACCCGCCCTGGACCTTCCGGGGAGGAGCAGTTCCTTGGCCAAACACAGAGGGAACAGCGAGGCGGCCGGTGGGAAGGACAAGGCAAACGCCTTCTGCTAGCCGCTCCTCCGGGCCCGAGGGGAGACCAACAGCGGGGCGGACGCCCCTCCCCGACGCCTCACGGGGCTCGGACTCCGCCTGGGCACCCCGGAGGAGAACAGACGTGTGCGTGTGGGGACTCCTGTATGTCTTTGTTCCAGCCAACACGGCTCTGGGACAAAGAAAGCGAGACTGCCGTCTGTCCGGGACAGAGACTTCGCTGGGCAGACACAGCGGTCCTGTGTCCCCAACGCATCGCGCCCCCGCCTGGCGTCCATGACAAGAGAGGCGCTGCCCAGGCTCCGTGAAACGAGACACCCCCGCTTGGTAAGAGCGGCCCACCGGAACCCTACCCTGGCTGCTCCGTGCCCTGCCTGCCTGCCCCCTGAAATCAAACCCACTTGCAGAACAGAGGACAGAGCCGCCGTCACAGGCGGGCGGGGTCCGTACATGGGCCACTAGTCCCATTCTGCTTGCAAAACTGCGGCAAGTTTATCCAGAGGTGCCCAGACCCCTTTCCCCAGAACAACCACACCTGCCCTGGCCATCCTTCCACCAACCAGTTCCCATGGCATCAGTTCTGGCTCTGAACTAAATTCAGGTGGTCTGGTTTTTTTAAATGTATCATTAAGATTCATTCCTTTATTTTATTTTTTAAGATTTTTTGTTTTTGTTTTTGCTGATCTTAGAGAGAGAGAAAGGGAAAGGGAGAGAGAAACATCCATGTGAGAGCAGAACCCGGATTAGCTGCCTCCTGCACGCCCCCTACTGGGGATCGAGCCTGCCACCCAGGCACGTGTCCTGACCGGGTATTGAACCGGCAACCTTTCGGTGCATGGGACGACGTTCAACCAAGTAGCCACATCAGCCAGGGCAAGATGGTCTATTTCTGTACCCTTAAATATGTCCCTCTAGTTCAAAAACAAGCTTCTAAACATATGGCATGCTGCCCAAGTCCACCCACGACAACAGAACACCCATTCGGACAATGAAGCCATGTTCTCACCTGTCACATTCACAAAGAGAACCAAACAAACTTCACCAAGAGTAAAAAGTTACTCTTAGAGCCCACGGTAGCCGGCATCCCAACGCCCACCCAAGACTTTCTGTCTCGATAAACGAACCTCTGCTGGGTACAGCAGGACAGAGTCCACACGGACAGCTGCTGGGAACCCACCCCTGCAGGCTCCAGGGAGCCCAGGCCACCAAACCCGCTCTTTAAAAATGCAGGTGCTGGGCCCTGGCCAGTGTGGGTCAGTTGGAGTGTCGTCCTGTACATGCACGGGTTTCGGGTTCGATCCCAGGTCGGCTTGCATTCGGGAGGCATCAATCAATGCTTCTCTCTCACATCCAAGTCTCTCTCTCTCTCTCACCCCCTCCTCTCTCTAAAGTCAATAAAGTAATTTTTAAAATAAATAAATAAAATGTAGGAGTTCGATATTTTTGCTGTTATAAAAGTAATATGCTACTAAACAGTAGATCTACACATGGATTAAGATGGTAAATCTATTACGTCTTTTTTGCCACAGTTAAAAATTAATCTTCTTTTTAACGGGGTGTATCTATAAATGCCTGACGGGTTCCACGAACCGGATTTTCGGGGCACCCTTATATGTCCAGAAATGTGCCACCACTTATAATGCCAGCGCTCAATGTAGGGATGTTTCCATTCTGATCCCTTCCCTTTGCTAGATGTCTGGGATCCCAGACATGAAATTCTAGGTCCAAGATATGCAATTTTTTTAAATCCTCACCTGAGGGTATTTTTCTATTTATCTTCAGATAGAGCGGGAGGGAGGGAGGGAGGGAGAGGCAGAAGAGGAAGAGAGCCACATGGACTGGTCGCCTCCCGCACGACCCTGACCAGGGCTGGGGACGAACCGCAACCGAGGAACCGAACCCACAACTATTTGGTCTGCGAGCCAATGCTCTAACCGCTGGGCCACACCGGCCAGGGCCAAGGTATGCCCTTTAAAACGTGCTGCCAAAGTACTCAACAGGAAAGCGGTCTAATCTGTAATCCAAGCAGCATCCTATCAAATAAGTCCCTGTCTTACCACAATCTCACCAACAGGGGGCACTGCTACCCTATTAGATAACTTGAGAGACAAAACCCAGGGTCTCGTTTGTACCTAACCGCACAGAGTCCTCAACACCCTTTCACATGCTTGGTTCCTACTCACGCTTCTCATTTTAGGAACTGCCACCCCGGGCTTGCATCCGTCTTTCCACTGGGGTGCGAACCCCATTCTTTATGTCCTTCTCTATGGCACCCAGTTTGTCATGCACCTGCTCTTCGGACGTACAAAAAGAGCTCACATGGACCACGATTTGGTTTGACTGAAAGCACCTTGGAGTCAGCGGCCCCATCGGATCCCCAGTGAAGCCCATCTACCTGCAGATCTAACCAAATCAGCAGACCCGAGTCCTTCCTTTGCCCTCGGGCACCAAGCGCTCTAGCGAGCAGCCAGAGCTGGCCTGGAGCATCAAGGAAGCCCCGTTCTCTGCAGCAGAGACAAAACGGTCCCCACAGTCAGCCAGCGAGCTGGCTTGGTGTTCCGGGGGCTCGGGCAGCCCTACCATGGAGACTATGGGAGAGAGAAGAGGGGCCCCAGTCAGACAGGGGCTGCGCCATGATCCCAGGGATGGTTTCTAACACCTGTCTTCCCTCTGAGGGTCGGGCTTCCCTTACCGTCGTCGTCACTCCACCACATCCGCCTAGATCCCGGGAGGACACAGGTCCTGCCTTGGGAGGCTCCATCGGGTGACCACAGTGGAATAATTCCACGCTACGACACTGCGTCTCCCGTCCCGCCCTCCCCAGAGGGCTCCAAAACTGCTCTTCTGGGATTTTAGTTTTCTGATTCACAAAGAGGACAGCCTATACCCCTTAGAAATGAGGCTGCTAGAGCAATTTGGCAAAGGATGAAATTTTTTCCTTCTTTGTTCATGAACCTCCTCCTCGAATGTTCTTTTGGCCCTGGCGGGCAGCTCAGTTGGTTAGAGCACCATCCCGATACGCCAAGGTTGCGGGTTTGACCCCGGGTCTGGGCATACACAACAGCTAACCAATGAATGCCCAAATCAGTGGAACAACACATTGATGTTTCTCTCTTTCTCCCTTCCTCTCTCTGTTTCTCAAATCATTTTTTTTTTAAATGTTTTTAATGCTGCTTTGCCCCTCAAAAATAGTGAAGCCCTTTGGGAATGTCTTCAAGTCTGTATGAAAAAACTGAAGAAAGTACTGGAGTCCACACATTTTTTTTTTTTAATTTACAGTCCACCTTGGAAAGACCACACTAATGCTCAAAGGGGCATGCTTCCTTATGAATGAGCCCACTACAACATGCAAGGCGGAGAATTATTTCTACGTGGAAATAAGTCAGAGATACCTCTGTGGTGCCAAGAAGTACTGTTCTCGTTCCCGGGTGTCTTCACTTTCTAACCTCGTCAAATCACCCACATCTCTGTCAACAGTCTCATTTCTAGGACGTCAGCACAGCCGTAGGAACACCTGGCCACTGACTTTCCCGTCCACTTGCGTGGACACTCTATTTTCAGCATAAAACACAGTAGCCTGTCACTTGTGCAAGCAACAGGCAACAGCCTATCGCTTCATTTGGAACAAAAGCTGAACTCTTTCCTCTGCCAAGAAAAGAATCTACACATTGCCCAAGGAAGATACGACGACTCAAGTTCACTTAGTAAGCCAAAATAAAGTCAGTAGTCATAATAGAAATATTTTACAGTTTTGAGGCTTCACTGATCCTTGGCCAAGAGACAACCATCCTCTGTGCATGCATGCACACGCACACGCAATTTAAGTCCACACTGGGGTTGTTACAGTGATACAGATGAGCCCGGCAGCTGTTGTACCCCATAAACAGAAGGCCTGGGTCTTACCTTTTCACCACTAGCTTCAGGGTCTTATGGGACCCCTTCACCAGGCAAATCGCTTCCTGTCTGAACCCTGAGAGACCGATGTCATTGATGCCCACGATCTCGTCCCCAGCCAGTAACTTGTCCACCTCGGCGGCTTTGCTCCCCTCTTCAACCTGCAACAAAGAAGCGTGTGGAGTGAGCGCCTCGTGAGCAAATCAAGTGGCCAGACCGGGGCCAGGAATACAGCAGGCCCTGTGGCGTGCCGCCTCCCACGGGCTCTGGGATCCGCCTCCAGATTACAGAGGAGGGAAGGGGACCACCTGAGCCCCCAGGCTGCCCTCCTTCCCTGTGGGGGTCTGCCCCTGTCAGGATGTGGGCGACCACCCACCGAGGGAACAGCATGAAACACTCAGGAACACACAACCCAGAACCGGGATTCCCTTTCTGACTCTCCTTTATCCAAACAGTAGCGAGAGATTGCTTTTATCCTTTGCCGATTTTCTCAGACACGAATCCTGTACCTAGTGCGATGATCTTTGTAACAGCTTTACTGCTTGAGATACAATGCAAATACCACACAATGCACAAAATAAACATCCAAGTGGATGCTTTCTGGTGTCCTCCCGGCATTGTGCCATCATCACCGTCGTCGGTTTCCGAACATGTCGCCAACCCAAGAGAAACCACACGCCGGTTTGCAATCCGTTCCTGAGCCTCCCAGGCCCTGGTACCTCCTCGTAGACGTTCTGTCTCCAGGGATTCGCCCGCCCTGGACAGCTCACAGACAACGCAGGATACAATGTGTCGCATTTTGTGTGGCTGCTTTCACCCAGTGTGAGAATTAATTCCTTCTTATGGCTGAATAACATTCCATTGTGCGGAACCCACATGTTATGTACCCACTCGTCAGTTGGTGGCTTTGAGCTTTTTTTCTGATTTCGGCTGTATGCGGTATGAACATCCGTGTACAAGTTTCTGTGTGTGTCTTCATGTCCTTTGGACACAGATCTCGGAGTGCAGTTGCTGGGTGATATGGGGACCACGGTGAGTATTTTCAGGAACTGCCAGACTGCTTGCTTGCTTTTTTTCATTTTTACTTATTGATTTGAGAGACAGAGAGAAAAAACATCAATTTGTCGTTCCACTTATTGATGCATTCCTTGGTTGACTCTGACCAGGGATCGAACCCGCAACCTTGGCGTATTGGGGCGACACTCAACCAGCTGAGCTCCCTGGGCAGGGCCTGCTAGACGGCTTTCTAAGGCTCACCACTTCCAACCCACATCCACGTCCGTGGCTCCCGTCTCTCCCTGCCCTTGCTCTTCACGTCACCGAATTCCCTGCATCCCGTCCCCGATGAGACAACTATATCAGCTAAACACATATGCATGAACTTGTATTGACTGACTCCTAAGAGCCTGAATCCGACCCATCTGATAACTTTCATCCTGAGAAATCTTGATCTTTAAATCCTTAACCTAGTTTTTCCTATGTAGCCATATTCCAATTCCAGATCAATGAACCCCGCCTGTCTGTGTACTCGTACCTGTCAGCCTTCGGCCCGTGAGCCAAACCCAGCCAGCTGCGTTCTCTTTTGGTAGCAGGGCGGAGGGGGGTAACTAAGTTTATGGGAATACGACCACACCCATTCGTTTACAGAATGGCCACAGGGCAGCATGGAGACCTTTGGCCCACAAAGCCACAAATATTTACGACTTGCCTTGGCTTCTCACCAGAAACGTTTGCCAACCCCCGTTTCGTACCCAAAAGCCATCTTGACAAACTGCGAGGAAAACGCGTGAACACGTGAGCGGTCGGCGCGTACCAGGGTACGATGGGACAGCTCCCAGCCCTCGGCGGTCCCCCACGGCGAACCCCGGAATCCGCTGCAGTGCGCACAGGCCGCTGAAGCAGGCGGCTCGCCCTCTGGGATCCAGCAGCTGGACACCGGCCCCGGACGGCACCTCCCTTCGGAAACCACACACTTGCCCCCGATCTGCGCCCAGATCCGAGGACCGCGAACCCTTGGTTCATAAAGCAATGGTTCATTCGGCGTGCACACACCTCAGCGGAAGTCCACTCCTGACAAACACGGGGGCAACCGGCCAGCCCAGCGGTCCTCAGCCTTCCTAAGGCCGCGACCCTTTCATACACGTCCTCGTGTCGTGGTGACCCCCACCCATAAAATTATTTTCACTGCTACTTCATCACTGTGATTTTGCTACAGTCTTGTCTTAGGTAACCCCTGTGAAAGGGACGTTCGACCCCCAAAGGGGCCGCGACCCACAGGTTGAGAACCGCTGGTCTAGACGCTGTTATCCCAACGTAGTCACAGGCGGATTATAAATACGTTTCCACCCGCCCAAGATGACACCCTAGACACGTGTAGTAGCTAAGGTGTCGGTGCCGTGGGGTGGAGGGTTCGAGGTCTGACATGTGTCATGGAGAGGCCAAGGGGCTGTCCAGGGGGACAGTGCAGTGGGCAGCAGGCTGTGGCAGGAGGGTGCCCCGAAAGCTGCCCGACACATGGAGTGGCCCCCAGTGGAGGGTACTGAAACATGGGGGGGGGGTGAGAAGGCCACCTGCGCAGCAGACAGACCCACAGACAGGTGCGCACCCAGGACAGAGCCCCGGCCTCTGACATGGCAAGGTCCGGTGGGGGAGGGGCTGGCCCAAAGGGCAGGACAGGGACGGGGGAGCCCCTCGGAGGAGGTCGTTCCCACCCGGGCCCCAGGGGCCGCGCGTGTCAGACAGAACGCGCAGAGACGGCGCCCGTACGGGAACGGGGACAGTGGTGGAGCAGGTGATGGGACACGGAGAGGACTCACCGTAAAGGACGCACCGCCAAGGGATGAAACACTGTTTCGCGTTCTGCGTCTTCTACCGCGGCGAAAGGTACGCACTCCTCAGTGTCCACACCCCAGAGGCAGGTTCTGAGCCGGCAGGAGAGGGAACCAAGGCGTCCTCCTCCCCGCGGCGACAGCGGGGGTTTGAGCCCCAGGAAGCCCTTCAGGTGAAACCGCCGTGAGCAGGACTGCGTGGGGACAGGTCTGGGGGCAGCACCTCTGCTGGCGTCCACTGCCTCAGCCCACAGCGCTGCACGGAAACAGGTGCTCGGGAACCGCCCTCGCCACCCTTCCTGTCCCTCTGGTCAGCTCTTGTCATCCGCACAGACTGCTACAGCTCCCCCTCCGTTCAGGAGGACACACTGCACGGTCTCCGGCGGCCTCGACCTCCCCGCACCCGCCGCATTCCCTGCAGCAACGCACGTGGGGCTGGGAGACACAGGGGCTGGGTCGTTCCTTGAAGTCTCTCGTGGATCTTTATCGTGCCCCCGGGGAAAGTAGCCGGTACAAGAAAACGCGGCTTTGCAAACTTCCCTTCCGCACTGCGTACCCCATCGACCGCCTCGCCCGAGAAGAATCCGCTAGGCTCGGACGGGGTGCGAAGCAAAGCGAAGCCTGGCACCGGCTGCCCGGGGCGAGGACCCCGCCGGCTGGCCCTGGGCGGCGTCGGGCACTGCGGACGGCGCGGCTCACCACATCGCGGTCCGTGTGCGCTGCACAGTCAGGACGGCACTGGCCTGGTCACGAGCACACAGCCGCAGTCAGGAGCCACCTGGGCTCGCTGGCTAATTCCACGTCCCTCTGCCCACAGGCAGGCAGGCAGGCACCGTCCCGAGGGCCACGCGCGCCCACGCACAGACCCAGAGCCCACGAGGCAGGCCCGGGAGGCCCGCTCCAGCTACTCCTCCACGCTGGACGGACACCCCCCTCTTCCGGTCCAACGAAGAGTTAAACATCCCACCGTGTGCAGATGCCTTACTGTTGTCACGGAAATGTTTTCTCTGGAAGCAGCGGGGAAGGGTGGGGGGCGGACACGGCTGATGAGAGTCTTTTGGGAACAAAGTTTTCATACTTTATTGACGGGATGTTACAGGTGATGAAGAACGAACCCCCGCAAAGGCCAGAGAACCTCTGCCCAGCCGGGGACCAGGTGCAGGTGGGAAGGAGAGGCCCCCGGTGGGGGGAGTGTTTGGAGGACGCTCACCTCCGTCTCGGGGCGAAGATAAAGACTCGGGGACAGAAGCGCGGGCGAGCGCAGACGGGAGGACTTGGCGAACGGGGCTCCGGTGTGAAGACAGAAGCCCAGGCCGTGAGCTCTCGCAGGGCAGGGTGTGAGGGTTCGGGCAGAAAGCGGACAATTCGGAAGCTGCCCTTGAACCAGAATCTGGACCGTATCCCATCGGCAGCGGGGCCCAGAGAAGGCGAACGTGGACGGAGGGCAGTGATCTCCGGATCTGAGCCGGGCCGTCTGCGCAATGAGTCCCCCAGCCACACCTACGGTGACGTTCTCCCGTCTGAGAACAAATGGCAGGAAGGGATCCTGCCAGGTGTCCGCACGGGACAGAAGCCAGGGGCAGGAAGAACCAGTCCCGCAAGCAGCGAGGACCTGAAGGGCGGAGCACAGAGGCGTGTGGCCATGGGCCCACCTTGACCTTGAGCGACAAGCAACATCACCACGGCCAAAATGAAAAGACGAAGAACCACCTTTTTTTTTTTTCTTTTGAAGTCCAACAGCGTATTTCAAAGCCCAGGAATCACAGCTGCCACGTGTCAGCGATCCATCTCAGGAATGCCTGACTGTCCAGAGGGTGACGTACATGTCTGACAGAGCGACACCTTCTGTTGGAGGACACCACCCAGTCACCCCTGCGTCGGCCTCACTGAAGCCCTGGACGCATTCCCCTGAGCCCCGCAGCCCCAGAAGGGGACCTCACCGCACCAGGTAAAGGGTCAAACTGGGATCGAGTCAGAGCACGTCTCTGATCACAGAGGGCCCGTCGGGAACGGAACGCCTGCAGCCAGGTGTCCCGAGACATGAACGGATGTCCCTACTGGCCCCACGCTGGGTGATGGCAGCCAGGCAGCCCCAGAGCCACTGACAAGGCATCAGCAAGGAGCAAACCTCCAGACAAACACAAGGAAAGACCTCAGTCAAACAAGAGGGGCGCAGACAGAAAGACACCAAAGCAGGTCCCTGTGCAGAAAGCACACCAGAGCGGCTCCCCGGCCACTGTTTCCGTGGAGGAGGAAATCGCGGCCGGTCAATAATGTGCACGAGTCTTAGCACGGTCCCCGCCTGTGTCCCTTCCTGCACCACCACCCACAGG